TTGAATTATCATATTTCTGTGGAAAGTAGCACTTTAGTGGCCCCCCTAGGGCCCCGGGGTCTGATTTGTGGTTCATCACAACTTACTCCTTCTTTCCTTGGACACATTTGGAAAAGACTTATAGGAACATTTCTCAACAGTTAGTACAGTTTCAGGTAGAAAACAATTAAGGAAATAGGTTTATTACTTGAAAATACAGCCATAAAGCACAGGAATTAGGATGTTTCGTATTGAAGTGCCATTTCCTCTGTCTTTTTACCTCTCGATCGGACCCTTTTCTGTTGGGAGCTCTGTCACTCTGAGTTGAAAAGTGGGTTTCCAGGTTTTTGCTTCTCTTACTCCCTGAGAAAATAGAATGAATATACTCACCAGTCACAAACGAGCAACTGTATTAAACATATTGCTGCTTTTCAAAAATTCCATTTAAATGTAACTTTCCAAAAGCCAGTTTAATGTATAAATAAAAAAATTTAAACCTTAGCCTTTAAGGTATGAAGAATTAGATAGCTAATATTAGGTTTACTTTATATTTCATTTTCCTATTCTTATATTAGGAGAAAAACGAATTGAAATCAGTATTCCACATATATGTCAAGCAACAGTATAAATACTTCATTCCATATTTTGAAGGTTCATTTCATGTTTTGAAGGTTCATTTCATATTTTGAAGGTTCTTTTCATATTTCATTTCAAATATATATCTTTGAAAAATATATATGGCATATAATACATGTTAAACACTTACACATCCACTAATTTATTTAATCTTTGCAAGATCAAAATAATGATTACTGTCATTACAGAGACTAAAATATTCAGAGAAAATTGAGACAAAACTACAAAATTAAGTGAAGGCATTTGGGTTTCTCTTAGCAGAGACAAAAATGAATGACAGTTCTGTGAATTAAGGGAAACCCTATTAGGTGTTCCATAGGTGAGATGTGTGCTGTACATATCACATGGAGGGAAGATATTCGTACCTTTGTGCTGAAAGTAATAGTAAATGTGACTAGGGCTTTGTCCACATGGCTTTGGAAAAAAGAAATATTAGAATCTAAGAAACTAATCAGAAGAAAGTTAACCATGAGGAATGGGTAGAATTGAGACTTCCACAGCCTTCATTCCAAATGGTAATTAAGGATTGACATGGCAGACGCTGCGGCCGATGAGGTTCTCCCGTGTGCACGTTAATTGGCTGTGGGTGGGCATCTCAAGGTTTACTATCGTTCAAATGTGTTTTATTTTCCAAGGCAGGAAAGCAAAATGTTCCTTCCTTCTTGTGCTGAATGTCCACCATCCAGTGACTACCATCTGGGGGTGGTGGTCAGGGTCATGTAGACCCCGTGGAGAAATATTTTCCAACCTACTTATTCCTAAGTACTCTAAACTCTAAGCATATTATGAGCATATTAGGCCAGCAAAGTGGAAAAGACCAATCAGACCCAAAGTGGACCTATGGCTCAGTAATATGATTCCACTTTCTGCACTTTCTGGTCTTTAGACTACACACTTACTGATCAGGTTTTTACCCATTTAAGACCCAAATGGCCCAAGGGACCAATACTGATAATTACAGACATCTTATCCCAAGATCAAACAAGTTTCATATTTACAAGTTGTCATCCTGTTAATATTTAACCAAGATAATAGGTGCTCAAAGAAGAGCTTTAGGAGAGTTTAATAAACTTGTATAGGGAGGTATGAGGCTTCTATAGTAACAGCCAAGGGCTAAGAAAAACTACTAAAGAGGTGGAAATGTGGTTCTCCATGAGGCATATTAATCTTTTTGCTCCATCTTGCTGCCTGCCTCTGGAAGATGAGGTTTCCAGGCAATAGAACATCAGAGCCACACAGGTGTGGCTCTCCGAGAAGCTCTCCTCCCCTCTTCTCCCACGAAAGATGCCAAGGGGACTCTGGAAGGCCAGGACATCTCCAGGTCTCTCCTCTTCACTGCTTCATCCCTCCCTCCTCTCTGAGGGTCCACGCTCACCGTACAGTGAGAATAGATCCAGATGTTATACTCTTGCTGCTCTTTTCCCTCCTATACTCCAGTCAGTCTTGGCACTAGAGCTCTGGCCACAACCTTGGACAGTCCAGCTAATACAGAGTTATTTCTTCCTTTCTCTCTATCTGTTTCTGTCTGGTTACATCTTTTCTGGGACTAGTGGGTGTGTCAGATTTAGCTTTCATTACATTTGTTGAGGCCTCATATTTTTAGGGAGAAAAAGGAAACACCATGAAGTCTACTCTAGTCTGTGGAGCTTTTGGTACAGAACAATCTGGAGCTTAAATACAGCAAATTCATAATACAGCACTACTGTGTTTTACTCTCAGAATCGAGTGACTGAACAAGGCAGGATTCAAATATTACTGTGTCAAATATTATTGTGTTAAATGGCTGTAATACCCATTTCACAACACTGAAACCCTATCACAAGCCCTAATAAATACTATGGTGGCCAGAATATAATTTAAAGTTATTTTAAAATAATTGTTATGGTTGGTGTTAATTAGCCTCTAGAAAGAAGCGTGACAGAGTTTTCAATTTCCTCCTGCTTTCTCAAAATTTCACTTCAAGTCCCAACGGTTGGGAACAATCCAGTAAGTACCAAGTAGAATGACCAATTGTCCCGGTCTGTCCAGGACAAAGGGGGTGCCCAGGACATGAGAGTTTCACTGGCAAAACTAGGAAAGTCCCAAGCAAGTAGGTTGAGTTGATCACCCAAGTTTCAAGCACCCACATCCTAAGACAATGCACCAGTCCACCTATGCGACCATAGAAAGAGTTGGTGGAACTGATGATGCCAGGTTCAGCCCTTCACTCACATCCAGGTTGTAGAAGTAAACCTCTATTTCTTTCAAAACAAGTCAAGCTGTGATGCCTGACCCCTCCCCTTCCCTTGCAGGAGAGTTGATGAAAGCATCTCGTGGAAGAAAGAGCTAGTGATTGCGCATCAACCACTTGTAATGTCATTTCATGGCTGCACCTGTCAGGCAAGACACCTCCACACTCTGATCTCACCCCTCTCTCTCACCTCCCCAGTCCTGGATGGGACCAAGCCAACAGCTATGGAGTGGGGATAGGGCCAAGAGAGAATAAGAGAAGACACTGACTATGTCACCCCCAACTGTATGTGTTCCAGACTAAGGCTTGCCCAGGTTACAGGAGGGAAGGTGCTTTAAATGCTTTAAACTGGGGAGGACATTGGAGTTTTAATACTTGGTCAGAAAGACTCTCAGCTACTGAAAGGAGACTCTTATTGTTGTGAAAAGGGAGTAGGAAAGTGATAGGGGTTGCTCAGGACAGGAAATAACTCATCTAGGAAGAGGACTTGAAAGGGCAGTGAGAGAATAAACCTGTATTCTGCTTACAATTTACCAGGTCTAGCCTTTTTCATTAGCGAATGATTTAAGGCAAAGGAATTTCCAGGAAAATCAGATAAAACACAGAGGAAAACAACTTTAGAACCTAGAGAGATAAGATCTATGATATGAATACAATCAACTTACAACCCTGGCTTCTAATGGGTTTGCTTTTTTTTTTTTAGATTTCACAGCTCTGAAATTGACTAAGTTTGACTAGTAAACAATAAAGGTTCTAGGCTCCTCAAAACCTCAACAACATTTGCATTGACCTGAAGGGCAAATGAAAAGTGGTACAAACTTTATCTTACCGCTGATCTTGGAAAGGCCTTGCAGATTCACTTTCGCCTTCTCTTCATTAGGGACCAGCTGGCCACCGGGTTTGCTGTTATCTGGGGATAGGCAGGGGAAAATGTATTAATAGAACTGGGCAGAACAACAGCTGTCAGGCTGGACCAAACTCAAGTGAGGGAGTCCTGGGTTTCTTCAGACACTCAGACAAGGAACCTCAAGCAGGTGTCCAGAGCATCTTCTGCTTTTGGGAGTGTCGACTTCTAAATTACACACAGGATTTAATTGTAGATTGAAGTCTCTTAGAATTTGTTAGGATAATACACAGAGACTTAAATGAAAATGTTATAATGCCTCAGTCCAAATAATTTTTTAATTTGAAAACATTCATTCTTGTTTTTTGTTTGTTTGTTTGTTTTGTTTTTTAGAGACAGTCTTCCTCTGTCTCCCAGACTGGAGTGCAGTGGCACAATTTTGACTCATTGCAACCTCTGCCTTTCAGGTTCAAGTGATTCTCATGCCTCAGCCTCCCAAGTAACTGGGATTACAGGTGCCCGCCACCACATCCAGCAAATTTTTGTATTTTTAGTAGAGACGGAGTTTCACCATGTTGACCAGGCTGGTCTCGAACTCCAACCTCAAGTGATCCATCCACCTCAGCCTCCCGAAGTGTTGGGGTTACAGGCGTGAGCCACCGTGCCCAGCTAAAAACACCCATTCTTAAAATAAATGCAACCACTTGTTTTTCTTTCCAAACAAAAATGTACATCCACAAACTGGGCAGACACTTAAACTGGCAAGAACAGAACAGAAGATATATAGATTGGTGAAAATGAACAATTTTCAACAGGACTCTAAAATCTTACTATATAGATCCACTGATTCAAAACTGAGCATCATTTGGAAAATAAGACTTAGCCTTCATTGACTAGGAGGAAGGAAATCCTAAGACCATGACTAAAATAAATAATATATATAATTATGGAAAATTCAGAAAATAAAATGGTCTAAAACATCATCATCTGGAGATAGCCACAGATGAGGATAGCTATCTCCAGATGGTGATTTGTTCAAAAATATTCCCTTAGGTTTTTCTTTTGGCATATGTTACCTTTAAAGAACGCTTTTTCATTATAAAGTTTGAATATTTTAAAAATTTTAATACACACTGGTACATTTAAATACCACAAATAAAAATATAAACATCACCTCTATTATACTGACTAAATGTAACCACTGCATATATCTTTATAAATGAACTGCCATTGATTTTTCTATAGCTTTATATCTCTTTATACACACAGATAAATAATTACATATATCTATGTAAGGATTGATAGATACATAAAAACACACTTTCACAAGTATAAATTTCACATAAAATATGGTTGCATATATATGTATATATATATTTTACAGGTGCACACACATACACATACACCTTGCTTTCTTCATTTAGCCCTCTTAAGGACATTTTTCCAGATTAATAAAAATTTCTTGAGCTACTAAAAAAACCCATGCTGAGGATGATAAGACCTCCCTATTGACTGTGGGCCTCTGGACTATTACATGCATGAGAAACCATTTTGTTGAAGCCCTTGCATTCTCAGGCCTCTTGTCACAGCCTGTTAGTCTACACCCTAAATGATACAGGAGGTACAGAACTCTCCAGGCCCTCGGGAACTGCAGGCCTTCAAGAATACAATGGGCAGTGCCCTAATAAACTCAAAAGCTGTAACGACCTCACTTTGCCTGCTTACCATGTTGTTGGATTTTTTTCTGCGTTCCGCTTTTTATTCTGGTCCAGGAATGCCCCTTCTTTTTTTCTTCAAATAAAAGAGAATAAAGTTAATTATGCAGAGGTATAAACATAATTCTCTGAGCTTTATATGCTAGCAGTATACAAGATTTTTTTTCATACTTTGGTCCACAGGAATGAGGCAAAATTCTTTTTTTTTTTTTTTTTTTTGTGGAAGTTGAGTACAGAGTTCTATTTTAATTCTGCATGAGCTTTGTGGATCATAGGCTTGGGAGACTGTAGGAGATGACCTTCCTTTGAAACAAAATTTTTAATGGAAAATTAACTCTTGCTGGCACCTTAGAGTGAATGATAACTGCTGTTCCATGTTCCTTTTTCAAGTGTTTGTTGAGTAAATGCAAATGTGCAATGAGAAGGCATCCTCCTTGAAGCTGATGATGTTATAGATAATATTTTGTATTGGAAGTTGGGAGATATTGTGACCTCTGATGTAGTGAGTTTTCATTACGTAATTACATAATCATTATAGAATTCCCATACAACTTCATTAAATAATCTCAGCAGTGCCTCCACACTGTCAGCCCTCCTTCAGGCTGCAGAACAACTGACTCCAGGAACGCTATTGTGATCCCAGAAACTCATTAGTGTCATGAATCTGGCTGTCTGGACCATTTGCAGTCTGATGTGCCCTTTATCAGAAAAGTGACTCCACAGTGCACTGACTTTCTGACTGTCCCTCACCTCCTCCTGTCCACACACCATGGGAGGTTCACTGAAGGAAGCAACCCCCAGAAAGGGATCATCTCCTTCCTGGACAGTGACCAGGACAAAAGTGTGGGGTATTGCAAGTGTTCTGTAGACCTATCTTGAAGATTCAGGATTCTGTTGTGACCATTCCTAGGGATGACACCTCATTCTTTTCCCTAGAGGCCTGGTGGGCACAGCCTTCTGAGTGCCCAGGGGATTCAGATTTCACTCCAGACACAGCTAATGAAAATGCTTTTGCTCTACTTGTATCTGATTTTGTGGATGGAAGGTCTACGTGAGAAAAGGAGATGATTAGGGGAGAAAGATGAAGGTGCAGCCACCTGAATGGTACAGAGGAATTTTGTAGCAGTGAAGCAAGAGCAAAAATCCCGACATCTAAGGCAGGAACACCTGCAACCCCAGGAGGCAGGGAGGAAGCAGGAGCATTGGTGATATCTGTCTTTCAGAACTACCCTGAATCCTTTGTCCAGAAGGAAAACACCTGCTCCAGTGCTCCGCCTCTGAGAATGCTGAGTCAGCCTCTCCGCACCAGTCATGAGACAGCAGAGGCTGGGCCCAGGTTCTGAGGTCCAACATAGAATCCTCCAGACATTGTCCCTACCCTTGTTTTCAGTCATTTGTTGGGGCGGGTCGGGGGGCGACTGTTACCTGGTTGGTGTCATGGACAAAAAGGATAGATTGGAAAAACTGTCCTCAAACCGTACCCCCACATGCCCACCCTCTCCCTGCCCCCTACACACAAACAAATCAAGGACTGGACACAACGAACAGAACTGGGATCCCCAAGGCTTACAGTCATCCAGAAGTCACGTAGGAGGCACTGTTTACCTTCCCCCTGACAAATGTACATCCCACTCAGGGAAACTCAACAATTGTAAACGCTTCCCTTCTTCGAGCACCTTGTGTGCTCTGGGGACTGTGCTTCTTGTATGGAAGCCAGGCATTAACTTGCTTCCCTCACGTAAGGTGACTTGTACCTTAGAGGTGGTCAGCTGGTCATAAGAAACCTAAAGACCTAAAACATTCACTGTTTATGAAGTGTGTGTGTGTGTGTGTGTGTGTAGAGACAGAGTTCCACTATCTTGCCCAGGCTTGTTTTTGGTTGTTTTGCTTGTTTTTGGACTCCTGGCCTCAAGTGATCCTTCTGCCTTGGTGTCCCAAAGTGCTGAGATAACACGAGTGAGCCAGTGCACCTACATTTGCAGTTTGCTCCTACAACATTTAGCAAATCAAATGTATCTGGACCCATGGGTCAAATTAATTAAAGTGGCTGATGGGGCAGTGTCTGCATGAGGAAATTTACCAGAAGCAAAAATGTGGGAAGAATTTGTTGAGAAGCTATTCTCATTGGCATTTCTGTACTCATGGTGTCAGGGTATAACTTCAAGGATGTTAGAACAGCAAGCAGCCTTGGAAGCTAGAGATCATGTAGCCTCCAGATTATAGGGCAAATTTATTCCCTGACCAGTATAAAGTGGAGAACATCTCCCTCCTTAGAAATTTTCCAGAGGAGATATCCCCAGAGGAGAGTTGCTTAAATCCCAGCTAAAAAGATAATATCTCCCTCAGAGGTAAGGTTTGGGCAGGTTTGCTAGCGGTCCCCGAGCTAGCAAACCCCATGGGTTTCCTCAGTGAAGCATTCCTCCACTGCAGCACACACCTGTGAGTGCAGCATCCACCTGCACCATCCTTTTCATGGGTCCTGAGGGGAAAGAACTGATACTTCTACTCTATATCCTAGCAATTTTGCTCGTAGGTATTTAGATAAGAGATATGAAAAAACAGAAAGACTTCTACAAGAATGTGCTGAGGAGAGTTTTTATAATAGCAAAAAACCGAAAATACTCGAGGTGACGATCATCAGGAGAATTATAAACAAAATTCAGTATATTCAGACAATGGACACTACTTAGCAATGAAAAGGAACAAATTACTGATACATCCAATGATACAGATGAATCTCAAAAACATGCTGAGTGAAATAAATCTCACAATAGAGAGAACATGCTGTAAAACCTTATTTATATAAAGTTTTTTAAAAAACCCAAATTAAGTTATCACGGAAAAACAAAGAGTACTGATTGCCCTGATGGGTAGCCGGAAGAGATATAACAGAAAGGACATAAGGAACCTTTCCATGGTGATGATCATGTTCTGTATCTTGGTAAACATTTTGATGGTGCAGAAAAATGTGGTTATAAGAACTCATCAAATGGTACTCTTCATACTTGTGCATTTCATTGTAAATTTTATCTTATAAAAGAACTTTAGTTAATGATATGCAGGCAGAAGTATTTGAGGGGGAAGGGTGCAGATGTCTGCAACCTTGAAATGTTTCAAACTTGACCATGGGTTATGGAGTGGATAAAAAAATGTATATATGGATAGTGATACGGTTTGTCTCTGTCCCCACCCAGATCTCATCTTGAATTGTAGCTCCCATAATTCCCACGTGTTGTGGGTGGGACCTAGTGGGAGATAATTGAATCATGGGGGTGATTTCCCCCATACTGTTCTCATGGTAGTGAACAAGTCTCACAAGATCTGATGGTTTTATAAAGGAAACTCCTTTCACTTGGTTTTCACTCTCTCTTTGCCTGCTGCCATGTGCCTTTCACCTTCCGCCATGATTGTGAAGCCTCCCCAGTCACATGGAACTGTGAGTCCATTAAACTTCCTTTATTTTTCCTTATAAATTACCCATTCTTGGGTATGTCTTTATTAGCAGTGTGAAAATGGACTAATACAGATAGAAAAGTGATAAAGCAGGAATGATACAATGTTAATTGTGAATCTACATGAAAGTATATTGATGTTTAGCATACAATTCTCCCAAGTCTTCTGCATGCTTAAAATTTTCATGATTAAATATTGGGGAAAAAAGCTTTTAGAGAGAAAGGGCAGAATATTAAACAAGAAGTTACAGTTACGACAAAAGAATGACTTTTTATTAGCCATACTATAGATTCCAGAAGACAATGTAGTGACCACTTTACTATAGTGAGAATAAATAAATATCAACCCAGAATTTAAAGACTCTCCATGTTTCACAAACTGGAAGAATTATTTGTTTAAAACGTCCATCTTACTCAACCAAGTGATCTGGTATAGTTGATCGAAATCTCTACATCAAAATTTTCCAATGGACATCTTTTCACAGAAATAGGGAAGAAAGGAATCCTAAAAGTCCATAGAACACTACTATATTCATAAAGACCGCAAATGGTGAAACTAAATCTTGAAAAAAAAGAGCAAAGCTGGAGGCATCACACTGTTATTTTATAACCTACATTACAAAGCAAGAGTAATCAAAACAGTACTGGCATAAAAACATACATAAATCCACAATGGGACATGAATCGGGGGAACCAGAAAATAAACTCATGAAATGTATGTTCAAGTAATCTTTGTGATTAAGGCACCACAATGGATTTTCTTTATGGTAAATGTGACCACATTTTCAATTTTTTCTTTCTGCTTTATGGAGCCTATATAGTAAACAAATTCATCGTATTACCACCATCTGAATTGGTGATAATCTGAATTTGTTTTACAGCAAATGTGTGCCAGTTAATATAACATACCTCCCACAATCATGACATGTATAACAGCCACCTTGTGTTCTTCTCACCTCTCAGTCTGATTCTTGACAACAGCTGGAGCTGTTTTCCTGTTCGTTTGTTTTAATGGAAATGAGTCCTCACTACGTGTCCAGGATGGCCTTCAAACTCCTGGGCCTCAGTGATCCTCATGCCCCCTCAGATTCCAGAGTAAGTGGAGAATACAGCGCATAGTACAACCTCGACCCAGTTGTTTTTTTTAAAGTGCTGATCTTGTTTACATCACTCTAGTTTTGTCTTTTCTGGAGTTTCATATAAATGAATTCATACAGTATGAATTCTACTTATGTTTAGCCTTTCACTTAACGGGATGCTTTTGGAATACCATCAGTGTTATTCTGTGTGTTCATATTACTCTAATTTTCATCACTGAGAAAGTGTTTCTTTAATGTGAATACATTACAGATGGTTTATTCACACTGTTGAAATAAGCCATTGAGGGTGTTTCCTGTTCAGCTATACAGATAGAAGCTGATAGAACATCTGAACACCAAATCTTCGGTTGGGCATGTTTATTTGGGTGGTGCAATGCCCAGGAGTGTGTGCTCTCGGGTCCATATGAACATACATATATGTTCAGTATTTTAAACTCTGCACAAAATGTTTTTCAAAATGATGATTCCCGCTTGCATTCCCCACCCAGTAAATGCGGTGAAACTTTTCTCATTGCTCCAATACT